ATTTTTTTAATATTTTTGCATTTTAAAAAAGTAAATCAGAGCTGAATGAATGCAAAAATGCAGGCAAATTTGTCTGCCTTAGCCTACAATCTAAGGGATATATAGATTCTGAGTCTGAGTCTTTTTGATAATTTAGCTCTTGATTATTGTTTTCGATCTCAAAGAAATTTTTAATATTATATTCTATTTGATTATTCTGATTATTCAGATAGGTATTGTTAATTTTTAGATCATCTAGAATTTAAATTATTCTGTCAAAGAGCTCGTTAGCTTAATTTGTTAGTTAAATAGATTAATGAAGAAATGAGAAATACTAAGAAGTATAGTGTGAAAGAGAAAAGTTATCAAGATCTAGATTAGCTTGAGAGTAGTTCTCTGGGATTAGAAGGTTTCTATTTAGTATAGTAGTAGTAGGGGTAAACAGAGAAATAAGATTAGTAATTGCAGTTTGAGAGTTAAGATTAAGATTAAAATATTATTAGTTAGAAGTATTAGTAAAAGAAGTAAAGAGAAATTGAGGGTTAGATATATATATAGGAAGTCCAAAAAGGATATCAGTTAGAGGTAAAGTTGGAGTTTGTTGTCTATCATGTGAGGGAAATTAGATTTAGGTAGTGTCTTCATTATAAAGAGTTAAAGTAAATAAAGAAGTTGTAACTTGGTTTAGGTCTATTGAGTATTGACTAACTATAGAACTATATTCGAAGTGGTCAAGACTACTAGTATATTTGTTAGGGATAAGAGAACTAAGATTTTCTAAAACTTCTATTAGAGTTCTATTTAAATAGGGATTAAGAGTAGTACCGTATATTTCTGAAAATAAGCTATATCCGAAAGAAGCTACTACCTTATTTTAGATCTAAAATCTATAAAATTTCTAATTCCGAAAATAAGCCATCTTTCTTTTTAAACAAAACTAATAGTAAAATTTTTAATTCCAAAAATAAGCTACTATTTAAATGTCCTAAATTAAATGATTTTTTTGTAGCCAATTACATTCTATTATCATTATATATATATATCGTAATAAGTACATGCTTTCAAAAATAATCTAAATTTATTTGTGTATAAAA